AAAAATAAAAATAAAAAAACAAACATTAAGCAGATTAATTAAATAGAAAAAAAGTTTTTTAATTTTTTTTTGGTAGCGGCTTTCATCAGCCACCCGTATTTAGTTGAATTTTTTAAAATTGGGCAGCTTAAAACTAATCTTTGAAAGTAATGGTCTTCGCTGATGAAATCGAGTATAAAGATATCACACAAATAAACATATTTTAATAAACAATATTGAGCCAAACGTATGTCATTTATATGAGGATTTATAAAGTTGCAACTGGATTTGTTTTTGTCTCGAACTCCTGCGCATTTGCCAATCACGGAACCTCTTTTACTGTGTGTAGCCTTTGTACTATGAATTGTGCTAATATATTTGTGACTTTAGGCTTGCATATTGTCACTTAAAATGCAAAATAAAGTAACATCACTTTCCGTAAGTTTACAGACGAAGGAAGAACAATATAATGAAAACTACTCTTATTGGAATAAAACATGAGTTTTGGTTATAAAACGGTTATATCTGACAGCTATGGTCTTTCATACAGCTATTTTTAGCGCTTTCTTAACATTACATGCTAGGGCTGATCAAGTACAAACGTGTCATTATTTATATACTTATACTAAATTTTTTAATTAATTACTGTTACTTTGGAAAGAATTTTCACTTGCAAAATTGCTTAGGTTCAAAATATCGACTAGAATATATTAAACATATAATATGTATATTTTCTTACTTATTTAAATCCTACAGACTTTTAAACACAATTTCAAACAAAATTGTTATTCCGAAGTAAGAAACTGTACGTAATATTTAATGAATGAGATAATCAATGGAATGCTTATTATTTGTTTTGATTACATACATATAGAAAACTCAGTCACTACGTGGTTTATAGTCGTGTCATGTCTGATATAACCGGTTTATTAATTTGAAATTCTACATTTATTGTAATAATTAATTATATATGCTATAAGAGAAACAAGTAAGACTTGATTAATAATTGCAAAATTGTTAGTTCATTCTCTAAACTTCATGTCATCTCCCTTAAAGAAATCCCAGGCGGAATGAATTTAGAGTGCAATCCAATTCGATAATCTAAGAAAACTGTCAACATAACCTTGATTTATGACTTACTTCGACGTGGTTTCTTCGTCTGCGGCTCACATTTGCGACCGATGTTTGGCCGATTTATTATCTGCTTCCGAGTCATAAGCATAGAGCCTAGACATATCTCCTGTAACAACACAATTCATGACATCCTGGTAGTCGAAATCATTATTTCACAGACGCCACGTTAACGCCACGCTGTTTTTCGAAAAGATTGCGTGATCTTTGAACCAAACGAGCTTTCACTTTTCTCGGGAACATATTATTTGGGATCAAAATGGTTTTCAATGATTCTTTCAATATTCCAACGATGCCAGAAAGGTCTTTGACTATTAGTCGTCGATTCTCAAGCACTAAATCCTTTATCTTATTCACCTGTTGATCATCTATTGATGTTGATGGGCGTCCTGGATGTGGTTTATCGTTAACACGTTCTGTACCCCTTTGAATAATTTGAATTATCACCGAAGAAATTTTTCAAGATTTTGAATGGAGCCAGAAATTTGACTCCAAATAAAAAATTTAATGGAACTTTGCGCTAATTTTAAGTTATCTTTGTATTTAGCTTAAAAATTGTTCTTATTTCTGTATACATTTTCGAGATTTAATATCCAAAT